AACAAGGCAAAGAAAAACAGAGGAAATCTTACTCATCCTCCACTGCTACCAACCTCTGCTTCATTCTCAGTTGATGGAACGACGTAGTTCCCTGAGAAACAAGCATCACAGAAACTCGGCGCCTCCTCACCAAGCAAGCTTCTAAAGACTCGTAAACCACGCTAGGGCGAGACGTGCTCGGCAGTAGGAGAAGGCGAGACTCCCGTGAGAGCTAGGGCACGGCGAACCGTATTCGACATTGCCAGCGAAACGAGGGTAGAATTGCCAACAGGAGCGTAGCGAAATGAGTGCAGGCTTTGTGCAGGTTGTCCTCTTAGTGAGCTTGAGATCGGCGAGGGAGGAGACGGAGAGAGATCGGCGAAAGAGGAGACGGAGAGAAGGGCACAGAAGTAAAATTTCGCTCGAACGCAAATTCAAGACGCGAGATGCGGGGTCAATTTCGCATCCCCGTCTATTAAGGATCCTGAATGACGTTTCAGTAAAAGCAATTCCAACGCAAAAAACAAACGGGGCGGCAGCGTTTTCAAAACGCCACCGTAGCGGAAAAGCTGCCTCAAACACACCCTTATGATAGAGGGGGTTGGGTCGATACATTGATGAGGGTTTATGCAAGGGGTTTAGAGGAGTATGAAGATAGAAGGAGAGAAACCAGATTGGGGTATGACTATGACCGAATGAGGGAATTTCACCCGAAATATATGAGGGAAAACATCGGAGGGAGAAGAAGTTGGGTTGGTGAATCTAGCATTAGGAAGTTGAAGATGTTGATCTTTGAGGGGGAAGACGCACATGGGAGGGTGTATCAAGTAGAGTTATACTTCACAGTGAATGGACTAACTAGGGAGAAGAAACTCATAGATACCAGGTTATGTTTGGAGGGGAAGTTCCTAACATGGTTTCAATGGAGAGAGGCTAGATACCCGATCCGTTCGTGGGAAGAATTTAAGATTTGTTTGTTGAAATATTTTTGAGTCATTCAGGAATGTGACCTATACGAGCAATTCTATGTCATGAATCAGGAGGAAATTGTCATGGAATATAGAGAGAGATTCGAGCTTTAATCAGGACGACTAAAGGGGATTCTAAAGCTAGATTGAAGGAAAATTTCATAAAGGGGCTAAAGCTCGACATATGGGCATCATTCAGCCTATTGAGACCGTGAGGATTAAGGAGATGATGGAGCTAGCTCAGATGATGGAGGACAAGGGCCAGATGGAGAAGGCCAGCAGGAGCAACACACATTGAGCGTCGCACCAAATTGTTACTACCATGACGATATAAAAGCTCAAACAATAGAAGTCTAGAGGGAGGTTGCATAGGATAGGATTAATGGGTTACGATCGAGAGCAACACTCAAACGCCTTACAGAGACAGAGATTCAGGAGAAGCGAGTCAAAGAGTTATGTTTTCAGTGTGATGAGAGTTCACCCAGGACACTGTTGCAAGGATCGAAAATTACAAGTTCTTGTAGTGCATGCGAGAAGGTAGAGGGTGAAGAAATAAAGGCAGCCGTGGTGGAGGAAGAGGAACCCTCACTTTTTTTCTACCTTGAGGACAAGATGTCTTTTGTATGTCGGTGCCTAAACTAAGGGCAATTTTATCTTTTGTACGCCTAAGGACAATTTAGTCTTTTATTATTATTGTTGTTGGGTATAAATAGACTTATTATATTTAGGGTTAGGTTTATGCATGAGATTGAGTTTTGTGTCTTAGGTTTAGGGTTTCAGAGAGATTTCCTACCTCTCAAATTGTGGGAATCGGGAGAGATTGCCTAACTCTTGATTTATACGTGCTCATCTTTTGTATTCATATGAGTTATTAGTGTTGTATAGCTTTGATTTGGTGTTCAGGAAATAAAATTTGTGTTTGCCCTAATTTGTGAAAAAACGTGCTGATTTTGACGTCGGATTATATCACATTATTACTGATTAATGCTTTCATCCCCAAGATTGAAGAATATTTATTGCATGATTTGGCATGGGGAGGGGATGTGCTAAGTGATAACAATTTCTTACAATGGCTATGGAAAATTTGTGGAAATAATTCAACATTATATTTCTTCAAAGATAGGTGGCTAGGTGATACGATGAAACCACTTTTAAGTTTGGATTAGAGCTCAAAATTGAGCCACATGCATATTTTTCGCATCTATGTATAAAATGATTATTAAACTGCATTTGTTGAGATCTATTGAGCCCCTTGTATATTGTGTCGTATCAAGTAGCTCCGTCCATGTCCATGTCTCAGTGGGTAGCCTCATTTGAACGAATTGTGGTTTAGCAAGTTTACAAAAAAGGTCCAGCCATACCCAAATTTCTTGTACTGGTGAACCGTGAAATGAATGGATTTAATTCAGTTCTCAACCATTTCTGATCATATATTGCAGTTAATTACGTTTTTGCAGCATTAATGAGTTATAGATGACCAGTGCTGCTTGCTTATTGATTCTAAACAGCAAATTGAAAGAACATTGTTTTGATCCAATTAAAATGATTTGCTTATTAAATATAAAATTATAAGATTTAGTCTAACTTATCTGGACTCGAGAGGATTTAGCTTTCAAAGTTGGCTTTTCTAAGGCTAACTGTCGTTGCCTGAGTTTGGATGTCTTTATTTGGGTGAATTAGGGTTTGAATCTCTTCACGAAAGGCATAGTAGGGATATCTATACGTTGGTTGGGTTGAATTGGACGTAGAGTAGGAATTATGGCAACAAAGAAAGTTGGCTTTTCTAAGGCTAACTGTCGTTGCCTGAGTTTGGATGTCTTTATTTGGGTGAATTAGGGTTTGAATCTCTTCACGAAAGGCATAGTAGGGATATCTATACGTTGGTTGGGTTGAATTGGACGTAGAGTAGGAATTATGGCAACAAAGAGGTTGGCCTAGGTCAAGGCCCTGTCCAACCCGAGAACAATTTTTTCCTGCTACGACTTTTGGTGTAGAAAAATTGGTTAGTGCTAGGCCTTGGAATCACTTGGAAGTGTTAAAGGAGCAAGCCTTGATGTACTCCATAGAATTTTAAAAATTTTCAAGGATATCTAGTAATTTTTTCATATTTTTCAAGAGATTTTTCTGCAAAAATGTAGTCTAGTCATTACAAAATAATTAGGTTTGGGTTTTTGGGAAGAGAATGCTACTATTGTTGGGTGTCGAGTCTCGGATGCAAAAAGTGGAAGGTTGTGTTAGGTAGTCAATAGTCAGCATAAAAATTCTTTCAAAAAATTATGACATGAATCATTTAAATTATTGTTCTTAATTTATTAGAATTAAATGAAAATATGACACTCAATAAGACACAATCGAGAAAAAATGATTCATCGAGGTGACCCCACTTCGTGGGACAGGCTATTTGTTGTTGTTTTTGGGTTTTGGGGAGTGATCGAAGTACCTATATGTGGGAGATGATTTGGAGTTTTTTTTGAGGTTTTTTAAGGCGTTTAAGGCCACCAATTGACCTCTAGAACAAAACTAGGTTTTGTAGTAGGAAAGCCTTGGCTGATAGCCTTAATTTGGTGAGGGTTGGAATTGTGAAAAAAATTACCGGAAAAATCACAATTTGGCAGAGTTACAATGGTCAGGGAGAGGAACAATTTGGAATTATAGGAAATATTAAAAAAAAAGTATATAACCTAATCGCTTACCTAACTGACTTGTGGGATGAGATCATTAAATCTTCTTCAAGGGTAAGGCCTGCTACTAAGCTATATTCCATGAGTTCTCTCAATCAAATTTTTATCACACCAAGATAAAGTTTTTTTTTTTTTAACTTTAGCCAAACACAATGGTTTTTACGAAGAGATTATTCAAATGATAGAAGAAAGAGAGAGGGAGAGGGGGGCCGACCCTTTGTATAATTGCCATAATCACGCTCGAACAATGAGTTTTGCTCGATCACCCTAGCAAATGCACATTTTCAGTATCCTTTTAATTTAACAAATGTTTTACTATTATTTTTACAAATACATAATTTTTAAGTAAGACATAAGCCTAAACAACAGTTACAACAATCACAATAGTTACTACAATCATACCTTTATTGAGCTCCATATTCTTGTTCTGAGGTCTACTGGTTGGTCCTTTACTTCTTGCATGATAAAAGAACAACTGAGAAATATTAGGATTATATAATAAAAACAAGGAATGTATAAGGCCCCTTGTGTAACCAGCATAACCACCCTTCAACAAAGAGTGTTTGACGGGCCACACTTGCAAATGCACATTTTCAAAGCATTTTCAATTACTTGAATGAATTAGAACTAATATTACAAACACATAATTTTTAACATATAATCTCACACAATTTTTACCACACTCATAAAATAAGAACTCTCGACTTCATTTTCACCATTATCATAAGACCTTTATTAAGCATTATCTCCTTGCTTTGAGCCCTAGCGGTTGGTCATTTCCTTCTTTCATTAGCATCTTGTGCTGCATCTTAGCGTTGAGTGGTTGTTGGCTGCATAATGTAGAAGATGCTATCAGGATACCCTAGATATGATTAGTCTATCATGGATGCTACTATATACTCGTTATTCTTTTTTATTGTAGTATATGGCTTATTTCAGTATCCATAATGGATGTTACTCTGTATTGGGCCTATTTATAAGATGACTTCTACCGACCAGAGCAAGGGTTTATCTACATATTGAACAATGCTTGATGCAGTGTCTCTTGTTATTTGGGCGATCCAAATTTGGCATTTTCTATTGTTCTTGCTTTTCTCTTCGTTGATGCTTTCTAGTTTTATAATGATTATTTAATTTGTATCTAAATCTTGTATTCATGATATTATTGTTTCTCGGCCATTTTTGGGTGAAATACTTTTGCAATATCTTTATATGTTTATTTTGTTGAACTCATCTAATATTTGAAAATTTTGCTTTCTCGGTTTTGCCTTACCTTATGTTATGACTAAAGCTTTTTATTTATTTTATCAACACATTAATCATTTTTAAATGATCTTTTATTTATTTTTTTCTCACCGAATCCCTATTTCAGTTTCTTCTGTTTGCGATGCTGATCAGCTGAGAAATGTTGCGCCTGATTTTAATGATGTCTCCGCCTTAAAACTACCAAACAAAAGAAGCTCCGAGTCAGTAGAAATGACTAGGCAGAACAACATACAGATTTCTTTGAATAATCTCTTTTACAACAAAGCTGATAAGCCTGAAAGCATTCCCGATGTGAATACTGTGTCCACTGGTCTAAGACTGTCCTATGATGACGACGATCATCTTTCCTCGGTTACAACGGCGAGTGGGAGCATGCCATCACTGCCCCTTTCAACTATTCTCAATAAATTAGGCCCTGAGATCGAGCATCAAACAGAAGAATTCAACCGTTACCTGAGAATGCAGGTGCTTTAATTATTGGCATTTTTAAATTTGTCTTTTTTTCCATGCACAAGTAAAAACTTCCATAGTTGTAGGTGATGTCATTTTACTTCCTTATCTAATTGCACCGACATCATTGCATTGGTTTAAATTTAGTTTTTACGGGTTATACATCTTGCAAAAATTAGTTTTTGAAGCAATCAAGAAAATCTTAAGAAAACGAGTGGTTTAAAATTAGTAAGATAAATATTAAATTTATGATTTACAGCACAGTAGATGTAAAATTTGTAATTGTTCGTAATATTGCTGAATATGAATTGATAACTAGGTGTGATAATTTTAAAAATATTGGGTATTTTGCCACGAAGAATGTACATGAAGATATAACATGATCCTAAGTTGAAATGTAGAAATGCTTCACGGGTGTCATATGACAAGAAAATATCATGGAATTTTAAAGATTAAATTTATAAAACTATAATAAAGTTAGGTACATGTGACTTTGGGCCTTGGGTGTTTAAGAAGTGGCTCATAAGCAAATGGTTGTGACTAGAATATTAAGATGGATGGATATGCAGTAAAACTTTATTCTACAAATATATTTTCGTGGATGGATAGATAAGATACGAATGTGTTAGAGAGTTGTGAGGGAGTGCACCAATTGAAATTAAGGCAAGAAAAAATTGACTTTTTTTGGCTTGTACTATCGAAGTGCTAAAGATATTGAAATGATGATGGTATTTTACACTTTTAGAGTTGAGGCAAAACAAGTGGGGATGGTTGAATTGGCTGTGGAATTTTGGCATCAAGAATGTAGTTATGAATACTTTCTCAACTCAAATACTATATAATGCAATACAAAAATTATAGTAATTAAAAGAATTGAATAATCTGAAGCGGAAGTTATAATTAGACTTACAAAAGTTCAGAAGTAAATGATAGGATGCAGATCATTCTGCAAAGGTGAATTAGAGACATTGGTTGCAGCAAATAAAATTTTCCATCAAGTCAACTTTCATGTAGCTAACCGTTACAGGTATATAAAGACTGGATGGAAAGTTCTCGATTTAGCTAGAATTTATTATTTAGTTATAAAAACTTTCTCGGTTTAAATCCTATATAATGCAATACATATTATAGTAAAAACTATGCACAATGGAAGCAATCAATGATAGAATGCGCGGAAGTTATAGGTATGCTAACTAGATTAGTAATGATGTATCAATATGCTAGATGAGGCATGTTATAATTGAGTCAGCCAAGCTAAAGACAGTATAATCGATGTGCTACTCAACTATAATTACGCACATGTGATCAATTAAGTTGTTCCTACAAATGTAATAACAATACTAAGTTATGACGTTGAATGAGTTATTGAGCTAGTAGTGAGTGATTTAAACTAAAGGCACAATTATAAAAGATAAATACACCAAATTAGCTTATGATTAATTTTATCATTCACAAAATCTAAATTTTAACACATCATAGATGTGAGATGATGTAAATAAATCAGTGCTTAGACTTGTTTAAGTGCAATGATTGAGATTATTAAACTATTTTAGCATAATAACAATGTAATCAAAGTAGATCACCTCATTAACATAAGGGCTATATAAGTGAGTGTGAAACGATAGTAAATCTAATCTGTAGAGAGAATGAGCACAGTTAATATTTATGCTTTTTGGAGAACTAATTGAATTTTTTATTGACATTTAGATTTCTCAATTCGGGCTAATTCATTGGCTTCCAAGAGCAGTGTTCAGCATTTAAAATTCCCTCCAAACCTCTTATAACTGGCTCATATATATATGTATTACAATTAATTGTCATTTTTAAAGCCTTCTAAATATGATTTAGTGAAAGACATTACATAGCCTGCATCACCAAACCCAAGCTATGTAAGTGAGGCTAATATACAAAAGTGAAACTATAGGTTTGAGAGAAAGGTTATTATAAACTTGGTCTCTACATGTGTGAAGGAAGAACATGGGATATATTGAAGTACAAACACGGGTTTTTTTCTACATATGAATTGTTAAAATTACGATTGAACTTAGTGATCTTGATATCGTCAATAATAATAAATGTTTTAGTTTTACCTTCGCATTAATAAATAAGAAGTTGAGGAGACTCTAAAGAAAACTAATGGTGGAAAGTCTGTAGGACCTAATGATATCCCAAATGAAGTGTGAAAATATATAGGATATCTATGAGTTTTTTTTGGCTATACTAAACTTTTTAATATTATTTTAAAAACTAAAAAGTTGCCCAAAGAGTGGAGGAAGAGTATTTTGATCCCTTTTTTAAGAATAAAGTGGATGCACAAGAGTGTGCAAATTATAAAGCAATTAAGTTGATGCTTCACACCTTAAAATTATTGAAGAAGGTAAATGAACATAGATTAAGACATATTACAAAGATTTCTCATAATTAATTTGAATTTGGGCAGGTCACTATGGAAGCTATACATTTATTGGGAGATTTGATGGAGAAGTTTAGAGAGAATAAGAGGATCTACATATGATTTTTATTGATTTAGACAAAACTTACGATAAAGTTCCAAGAGATATCCTTTGGAAAGTTCTAGAGAAGAAAGGTGTTGATATGACTTATATTCAAGTCATTGAAGATATGTATAGTATAACTATTACTTGTGTTCGAATAGGAGGATTGACCAAATAATTTTCAGTTTCAGTTGCATTATATCGAGGATCGGCTTTAAATCCTCAACCTTTTGCTTTAGTTATGGATGCTCTTGCTTGACATTTACAGGAGGATGTAACTTGGTGTATGCTTTTCAGTGATGATATTCTTCTTGTGGATAAGACTAGAGAGAAAGCTCAGGAAAACTTGAATTATGGAGTTCTACATTGGAGTCTATAGGCCTTTGTTTGATTATAACTAAAACTGAATGCATGGAATGTAATTTTAGTAGTAGTAGCTCTAGTGACAGAGTTGTAACTATGGGTGAGGGTGATCAAATTATTAAAATGTGTGAATGCTTTAGATATCTCAGATCTATTGTTCAAAGTGATGGTGATATAGACGGGCATGTTATTAGTAGAATTCAAGTTGGGTTGGTTGAAATGGAGGAATGTTTCGGGCCTATTGTGCGATAGAAAAGTACCGTTTAGACTGAAAGGAAAATTTTTTAAGATGATGGTGAGACCTACAATGCTCTATGACACTGAATGTTGGCCTTTAAAAGAGAAACATAAAACTAAGTTAAGTTAAGTTAAGTTAAGTGTTGCTTAGATGAGAATGATTAGGTGGATGAGTGGCTTTTCACTTAGAGACAAAATGTGAAATGAATATATCAGTGATAGGGTTGGTGTAGCTTCAGTAACGGATAAAATTATAAAGAGTCGTCTTAGATGGATTTGTCACATTAAACATCGACCATCTGATGTTCCAATTAGGAGAGTAGAGGTTTTAGATTCGACTTATCTTAAGAAAGGTAGAGGTGGAACTAGAATGATTTGAACATATTGTATAAATAATGATCGTAATTTATTAGAATCAAATGAAAATATGACACTCAATAGGATGCAATGGAGAAAAAGGATTCATGTAGCTGACCCAACTTAGTGGAATAAAGGCTTGTTGTTGTTATTGTTGTATGAATTGTTGAAATTAGTAGCGTAGGCTTTAAGTATATATTGAGGTGCTCAAAGAGAAAACAAGCAACAATGGTTAGAAGTACATTAATTTGGAATTTAATCAATTACACAACTGCTAGATCAATTTAGGGCCCGTTTGGGGCAGCTTATTGACTGCGGTGGCGGTATGAAAACGTTGTATGGGTGTTTGAGAAGGCGTTCGACGCTGCGATTTCGTGCCACTCTGACGCACTTCCAAAATTTCCTTAATAGCCGAAGAAGCGGGGAAGGGGTCGCGTCCCGCGTTTTCTTCGCGTGTTAGGTGAAAAATTCCTCCGTGCCTCTCTTTGCTCCCGTCGCCCTCCCCGATCTCGCCCTCGCCTCGCCCTCCCCGATCTCGCCCTCGCCTCGACTTTCATTTCGCTGTCATTTCGAGGCTCGATCTCCTCCCTCGCCCTCGCCTCTCCAGCGTTTCATTTCACTGCTATTTCGAGGCTCGGAGGAAGCTCTGATTCCTTCTTTGATTCTCTCGCCTCTTTTCTTCTCGATTTTTCCTCTACTTTCGCTGCGAACCCTAGAATTGGGTTGACTTTCGTGTAGCCTCGAGTTCCTTGCTCTGTATCTTGGTCGGATCAGAAAAAATTGGTGGATCTGTCGAGAATAGGTAAAGACTTTAGTACTTTGTGCTCTTCTGCCTTTAGATTTTTCTTTTTTGTTCGGATCGTCTTGTTGATCTTAGTTTTTCTTGGTGATTCTGAATGTTTTTTTTTTGGAGCTATGGTATTCATGCATGGAATTATTTAAATCTGTTTTTGAGATGGAGCAAAAACTCAATTGTAAAAATATAAGTGATATTTGCTTTTAGATTGTTTTTGAGTTTGAGCAGACTTATAAGATTTGGAATATGCTCGGTCTTTTCTTTAAAATATTTACAATAATTAGATGGACTTGCTTTTGACCTTCAGTAGTGTTCTACGTTTTAGGTGCTTTTTTGATCGTGCTGTAGAATTGAGATAACGAAATAGTGAGCAGTGTAATTTAATTTATGTAATTGATCTGTAATTGTTTGAGAATTTTGTTCTATCTTTTATTTTTCCTATACAGTTCTGTTGCAAACAGTTTAACCAAACAAGGGCAGAATTGTCATTTATCCAACAACAGCTGCCAGTAAGCTGTTCTAAATAAACTGCCCCAAACAATAAACCAGCTTATTCTGATAATCTGCAGATTATCAAATTATAGAATAATCTGCTTATAAATAATCAACAGCTGCCCCAAATAGACCCTCACTCATTACAAAACATTTTAGATTAGTAGAGGCCCATGAAAATTAAGGGAATTTACATACATGGCACAATTCTTATATATTTACATATCTCACACCTAAACTTCCATATTTACATATAAAGCACTTTGATGCTTTAAACCTATGTATGAAAATATGTATTTGACTTTTAAAAAGTGATAGTAGTGCTATTTTTTATTTGATATTAAAAATTGAGTGCTATGAGTATAAATATGAAAGTTTAGCTGTGAGATATGCAATTACATGAGAATTGTGTGCTATGTATGTAAATGCCCCTAAAATTAACTAAAGCATGTGACAGTTTTTGGAGGCTCAATAATAAACAATCTTAGGAATATTTACTTAAGTAGCACACAATTCTTGTGTATTTATTTATCTCACATCTGAACTTTCATATTTTCCTAGATAGGACTTTGGCGCTTTAAGCCTATGCATAAAAATGTGCATTTGACTTCTAAAAAGGGTAAGAGTGCTTGACGTGATATTAAAGAATCGAGTGCTGTGTGTGTGTGTGCGCAAGTCTATGTGTGAGATGAAATATAAATACATAAAAATTACATTGCGACTGTAAAAACTAGTATGTCTGTGTGCTGCCTACCGTGACTTTTTGGTTTTTGGTTGACAGAGTTTGTAAAGACGACCCCTAGGGTCATGGGTTCGATCCCGCCTATGTGCGAGATGGAATTCTTATGCACATGTGATTGACGGGAGATTCGTATAATAGCTTCTGACCAAGCTTTTCAATATATATATACACTATCAGAGATATTAGCCGACTTCATCTTGAAAGCTTATGGTCTTACTGAAATTTTTTCATTACATTGCGGCAGGAGGAGCAATTTGTAAAAGCAGGTAGAGAGATGCTGCAGCGGCATCTGGTCTCCTTCGTGAGCATTATTGAATCAGAATTGTTGAAAAAGCTCCATGACAAAGACCTAGAGATCGAATCAATCAACCGGAAGAATCGAGAGCTCGCCGATCGAATCCGGCTGGCTGCTGCTGAGGCTCAAACATGGCAGCAGCGTGCGAAGTACAACGAATCTATAGTGCACACTCTGCAAAGCAGCCTTCAACAGGTGATGGCTCAAGGTGTTGTTGCTGCTGCAGCTAAGAATGGCAGGGAAGGATGTGGTGACAGTGAAGTTGACTCTGCTTCATCCAGTGGTCTTAATTTTTATAAGGATGGCGGCCATAGTAAGATGCCATTGAAGAGGGCTTGTAAAGCTTGTAGAGAGAGGGAGTCGTGTATGCTTATGCTGCCCTGCAGGCATATGTGCTTGTGTAGGATTTGTGATGGAATAGTTGATGGTTGCCCTATTTGCTTTACTAGGAAGACTGCTAGTGTGGAGGTCAACATGTGGGGATAATGTTAAGTAGAGGGAGTTGCAGGTGGGACTTTCTTTGTTGAGCAGGACTCATGGTTCGTGTTATGTAATTGTGCTACTTTATTTGCCCCTTGGTGGGTTTATATAAATAATCTTTGTTGCTAGAAGCATGCTGAAAATTTGGTGTGAAATTGCCGTGGAGAAACTATATATATATATATATATATATATATAAGC